AATGCATGCCACTGTTTTTGTGGTGCTACTATCTGTTTAATGCCTGTTCCGGGCCGTTCCAGGGTGTTCCGGAGGCATTTCGGCCTGGAAAGGGTTAATAAAAGAGTGAGAGTCCTTTGTTTTCTCTTCCAGAATACTGTTCTGGAGTGCCTGTAATGCGTGCCACTGTTTCTTGCAGTACTATTGTCTGCCTAATGCCCGTTCCGGGCCGTTCCGGTGTGTTCCGGAAGCTGTTTGGCCTGGAAACAGTTAATGAAAGAGTGAGAGTCCCCTCTTTTCACTTCTAGAATACTGTTCTGGAGTACCTGTAACGCGTGCCACCGTTTCTTGCAGTACTATTGTCTGCTTAATGCCCGTTCCAGGCCGTTCCGGGGTGTTCCGGAGGCTGTTTGGCCTGGAAAGGGTTAATAAAAGAGTGAGAGTTCCATGTTTCCACTTCTAGAATACTGTTCTGGAGTGTCTGTAAAACTATTGTGTGGTTAATGCCTGTTCCGGGGTGTTCCGGAGGCAGTTTGGCCTAGAAAGGGTTAATAAAAGAGTGAGAGTTCCGTTTTTCCAGTTCTAGAATACTGTTCTGGAGTGCCTGTAATGCATGCCACTTTTTTTTGCAGTACTATTGTGTGTTTAATGCCTGTTCCGGCTTTTACCCTGTCCCGGGACGGGGGTCTCTCATCTGGGAGAACTGGGTTTGATTCCCCACTCCTCCACATGCAACTGCTGGTATGACCTTGGGCGAGTCATAAGTTCTTTCAGAGCTGTTCTCTCACCAGCCCCACCTACCTCACGGGGTGTCTGCTGTGGGGAGCGGAAGGGAAAGGAGACTGTAAGCTGCTCTGAGACTCCTTCAGGTAGTGAAGGACAGGGTATAAATCCAGTCATCTCCTCCTCCTCCTTCTTCGAATTAAACTCTGCCAGTCTTAAAGGTGCCACTGGGCTCAAACTTTGTTCTATTGCTTCAAGCCAACATGGCTACCCACCTGAATCCAACAGTAATTACTGCCATGTCAAGGCAGGCAGAGGAAATCCCTTTCCTAAATGTTTCTCTAACTGAGACACCTCCTTTTAAAACCAAAGATAAAGTTATATTATCTGCAGGATACCACACTCATTTTCTTTTGCTTTCAATTTCTTTTTCATAGAAGCAAAATTGGGGGGGGGGACTTCAGAAGCACTGCATATAAAATCCCTTGGTCACAAACAAGCTACACAATATCAAGGCCATATTTCATACAACTGTGAACCACCCACAACGCACAAAGCAGCGGTGTATAGACGAAGAATTCCAGCAGCAGCCTTGCAAATCACAACTTTGTTAGAGAAGCTGGAAAACTGACTGTGCAAATTCAGAAATACAGCAGCAAGAATTCAAAAAAAGAAAAGAAAAAGACCACATTCAATATATTTCACCATTCAACAATGACTAGCACTTTTCCAAGAACCGAGGACAAGAGTGTGGGGATGGTATGGAATAAGATATCCAGCAGATCTGCTAATGGTTTGGTATCTCCTGGATTCATAGACACAATAAGGAAACTATGTAAAGTTATGCAGCCGCCAAGATGCCGACTGGCCACAGGCGTTCAAGCTAGGGACATTTAATCACCCAGATTTGTTCATTATAAATTGCTGTTATTATTATTTGACTGTAAACCACCACGAGGAGATCATCTGAAAGGCAAGTTGTAATAAAATACTCTCTGCGGTTTTCAATGATGAACATACTCCTTACCACTATTCCTACAGTGCTCTTGCATCTCCCCAGTGCCCACCCCCCAATTACCCACTGCCGTCTACAAAATAATAAACGGTCTATAACACCCTCAATGTTGTGAGACTGACAGTTGCAACCCTATGCAGTCTTTCCAGTTTGAGCCCATTCATGGACTCTAAAGGATTTACCTCTCTATAGTATTGCACTGTAAGACAGCCCTGCTTCCTGCAGAACTACAGTTCCCAGACTCCTTTGCTGGGGGTGCCATGACAGAGGTGTGAAGCTGGTTAACATTTGGTAGATTAAACAAGCCCCATGAATGCTTCCTGCTCCATTCCACCTGTTTCTAGGGTCCCTGGCCGGGACCCTCCCTTGGCAGTATGAAGCTACCCAGCTTCTATATACTCAGTCAGACCACCAGTCCACTTGGTCCAGTATTGCCTGCTCCGATTGGCAGCCGCCATCCAAGGTCTGGGAAGCAGATTGCCTTTCCCAGCCCTGCCAGCCTGAGATTCCTTTAACTGGAGATGCTCACGTTTGAAGTATGTACTCCCCAATGATGCTTCTCAACTTTGGGATGTTTTGGTTCAGAAAAGCACTTTCGGACTGTGAGCTAGATACCACTGCCTACAGGGTGTATTATGCATTTCCAGTACGCCCGATTCTGCTATCACTGTATTATGTATTTGAGAATTTCCTGCATTGTGCAGGGGGTCGGACTAGATGACCCTGGAGGTCCCTTCCAAGTCTATGTTTGGTGTAGTGGTTAAGTGCACGGACTCTAATCTGGGAGAACCGGGTTTGATTCCCCACTCCTCCACTTACACCTGGCTGGATGACCTTGGGCAAGCCGTAGTTCTGATAAGAGCTGTCCTTGAAAAAGAGCAGTTTCTGTCAAGAGCTCTCTCGGCCTCGCCTACCTCACAGGGTGTCTGTTGTGAGGAGGGGAAGAGAAAAGGAGTTTGTAAGCCGCTCTGAGACACCTCTGGGTAGTGAAGGGCGGGGTATAAATCCAATCTCTTCTTCTTCTTCTATGATCCTATGAAACATAATACCAATTTTTCCCCTGCATTCCAAGGTAAAAGGTAAAGGTTCCCTTGCTCGAAAGCCAGTCAAATCCGACTCTAGGTTTGCGGTGCTCATCTCCGTTTCAAAGCCGAAGAGCCAGCGCTGTCCGAAGACGTTCCCGTGGTCATGTGGCTGGCATGACTAAACACCAAGGCGCACGGAATGCTGTTACCTTCCCACCGAAGTGGTCCCTATTTATCTACTTGCAATTTCTTGCTTTCGAACTGCTAGGTTGGCAGGAGCTGGAACTAGAGACAGGAGCTCACCCTGTCTTGCGACACCCGGGTCTTGAACCGCTGAACTACTGACCTTCCACAGCCTGCAGTTCAGCGTCTTAACCACTTGAGCCACCCGCAGCCCCCGCTGCATTCCAAACCATGCCTAATATTCTCTGCTTGTTCCAGATTTCTGTAATCTTAGTCCTAACACATTGCCAATCAGAGGTCTCATCCAATAGATGGATCAATTTACACTCTGTAATCCATCCTCCCGCGTCTCAGTGAGAAAGCTGGACTATGAAAAGGGCCAATGTAACCCATGGCCGGGCCCCTAGGCTTTCAGGTATTTTGGGGGCCCTCCGGCACTTCAGTGTTTCACCCCACTACAGCTGACAGCTTGACCCTGGCGTGGTAGGTACTACAGACCGCAGTACATAGCCCTATATCCCTTTCGAGGGTCTCCTGAAGAATTCTATTCACAATCTTACCGTGCAAGTAGAACTCTTCAGGAAAGCACGTTTTGGGAGTATAATTGTTCAATACTGTAATATTTTGAAGTGAATAAAATGTTTATTAAAATATATAATTTATGGATAATTGTTTTGCTATTAAGAGACAATTTGATTCACTGCAATAAGGAAGCCGTTAATTATCTTATTAATAGAAGTTATATACCACAGAGAAGAGAAAATAACAGCAAAAAAAACAACAATCAAAGCAATTGATGGGCCCCTACTCCCTGCAGGGCCCTTAGGCTTCAGTCTAGTCAGCTTTATGGATAATACAGCCCTGACTCTGAACACAGTAAACTAAAAATTAAAAAATGACCTGGAAAGGAACCCAGGAGAGTATGAGTCTTTGAACCACCAAGGCGGTCTCCAAGGCTTTATGCAAAAAAAGGGGTGTGTCAAAATTGTGGGACCGAAGGTGGACCTGAGCTCCATCAGAGGGATGTGCCTATCAAACCTAAGGCACGCTCACCTCCACCACGTGCGCGCCCAGGGGTAGGCGGCAGCCAGCTTACTGGAGCGGCTTTCTAAATAAAATGAATGTATGGCTTTGGCCACAGCAGGCCAGTACCTTGGGCTTCTGACGTTTAAGGTGAAAGAAGAGCCGGCATCCAGGAACGGGAAAGATTATTAGGGCTGGAGAAAGGGGGGGAAGGGAGCGCTTCCCTTCCTACGGTAACGGCTGGCGTCGAGCTAGTAACTTCGCCTTCAGCCTTCGGCCAACAGCTACCCCTAGCGGCTGCT